AGAACACAGGAGTCAGGAGCAGGTCATCTCTCACTCTTTCTCTCTCTCTCTCATCTTTCATGTCTCTCCTTCATTCCCACCCTCTTTACAACACCTTCATCTTGCTCTCTCAGCCCCCTCCCCTCCTCTTTCAACTCGTCCCTCTTTCTCTCCAAGTGCCCCCCCCCCCACTCTATAGTGTAATCATAATCCTGAGGAGACACCCTGCCCTGTCATCGTGAATAATGGGAGGAAGGCAGGGAGTTACAAACACCACCCACTGCAGACAAGTCACCACCACCCAGGAGGGGGGGTCTTCATATAGGGATGGGATGAAAAAACATTGGGGAGGCTGCAGTCTGACCTCACATTGGCCACCAGCAGAAAACAATATAACCCTGGATCATGTTTTAGGAAAATATTAGACATTGAAACCCTGACTTGACTGTTGGGTGTTTCCCCTTGAACTCCTCGTTGACAGCGTCACATTTGCAGTGTGATATTCAAATTCACTACAAAACACAACTGTGGTGTTTTCCACTTCTCAAAAGACAGAAACCTCAGGCTGGGACGCACGGACCTCTTTGTCTCTATATACTCGGTTGAAAACAGGAGCCCTGGCTGCCAAGATCTCCTCCGGAGAACCAGGGGAGATCGAGGCTGTGAACCGCCCCGCTTCCAGGCACCGACAGACGGTCATGGGACCGCGGGGCCCGTCGCCAGCTGGCCGGAGAGCGCGTCTTTGATGTGTGACGCAAGGAGAGACGCCTGCACCACGCACACACCCTCTCTTCCTCACACATGCACACAAACTGGAGGAAATATAAAAAACACACTGTCTCATTCCACAGCAATGTGTTCTTATTTATAACCTACTGGTAGAAAACAATGAGACCTGTGTCCATTAAAAACACTTGGAATAACTTCGGGGATTTTGAGGATTCTGTGCATGTCATCGTAAAACCAACCACTGACTACGCTGCATCAAGTCCATAAAGAGATTTGTTGTTACAGGAATGCAACTTGAAACCAGTGCTTGTTTTGTGCGTTCCTGGGGAGTTGTGTGGCTGGTGCTTTAATCTTTTAGAAGCTGGTGCTTGTGAGATTCGGCTCCACGAAGAGCAGGTGTAGAGCAGGTGGATGTATCAGGTGCATTTCGCAGCTGTTATCTGTGATCCCATCTTTGCGCAGGCTTTAGGACCCGCGGGATGAGCTGGATGAAAGGTTAAAGTCTGCGCACCTCCAGCATCTAGAAGTGAAGGGTTGGTCCTGAACTTGCCTCGTCTTGTCCCTCTGGTGCTCCATGGATGCAGCTCCTCTCCTTACAGAGCTGGCGAATATGTGCGACGTGTTTCTTTTTCTTGGATAATCCCTCATCACCTTGGTGAAATGCAATCCACTTCAAAGTTCAAGCAATGCTCGGCAGCTATGCGGGGCTGAGTTCTGAGTTTCCGCTGTGCGCTCCCCAGTATGAGGCTGTGCAGAGCTACTGCCCGGAGGAGGATGCTCTGCCTCTGGCTGCTGCTCCTCGGTTTCGCCCTTGTCACTCTGGCGCTGTCGGACCTGTTGAGCCGCGACAGATTCTCCAGCCATCAGAATCCTGGTCCTCCTCGTCACCCCCTGCAGCGGTCCCCGAGTCCACCGGACCTGGAAGTCATCGTGGACTCCCGGGACCCTGCCTTGGAGCTCGGCGTCGACCTCTCCCCGCTAAAATCTTTTCAAGAGGACCAGCTCTTATTCGTGCCAATGCCATCCATACAAGGCACCAGGAGCGCGCCGCAGAAGAAGGGCAGCTACAAGGTGCTGCTGCCCGGAGCTAATAAGGACAACACCTTTCCTGCGGCTCCGACGCACGGGGAACCGGGCCAAGCGCTGCGGATACACCTGGAGGGTGTGGAGAGGGAGACGGAGGTGGCTGCTGTGATGAAGTACGGATTTAACGAGGTGGTCAGCGAGAGGATTTCACTGCATCGCGGGCTGCCAGAGGCGCGCCATCCGGGGTGAAAACCGCAAAATAAACCACACATTTTTCTCTGCAAATCCATTTTGGAGTCAGTTAGTGAAGTTGTTGCCTTGACGGTGCGTCTTTGTCCCCAACAGGTGTCTGGGGGAACAGTACAGTAAGTCTCTGCCGTCTGCGAGTGTTGTTATATGTTTCCATGATGAAGCCTGGTCCACGCTCCTGCGCACTGTACACAGCGTCCTCACCACTGCGCCCAAACAGTACCTGCGTGAGGTTCTGCTGGTGGACGACCTGAGCATGCACGGTATACCCAACACATCCATCATCCATCCATCATCCATCTATCAATCCTTCCATCCATTTATCTACATCATTCATCTATCAATCCTTCCATCGATTTATCTACATCATTCATCTATCAATCCTTCCATCGATTTATCTATCCTTTATCCATCCATCCATCCATCCATCCATTCATCATCCAGTTATCCTTCCATCCATCCATTTTTATTTGAATTGGATTTGATATGTTTAAGAAGTGATATAAAAATACAGTTGGAATTATCCATCCATCCTTCCATCTATCCATTCATCCTTCCATCCATCCATGCATCCAATCAACCATCCATGCATTCACTCTAGCTGACCACACATTCTCGTCTACACTGTGCACTCCTTAGGTCACCTGAAGACTGTGTTGAGTGAGTATGTGTCACATCTGGATGGGGTGCGTTTGATTCGCAGCACCAGGCGCCTAGGCGTCGGTGGGTGCCGCACCCTGGGTGCTGCCAGGGCTGCAGCGGAGGTGCTGGTGTTCATGGACTCCCACTGTGAGTGTCAGAAAGGCTGGCTGGAGCCACTCCTGGAGAGAGTGGCCCAGGACAGGTAACCATAACCCTACTCACTCTAATGATATCTACAATCTGATAAGTGCAAGATTCCTATTATTGGATTAACATCTGGTCAGGTACTATCCATCCAGCTGTTACCACTGTCTCCTATTTTCACCATTATTTTCTGCTTTTTGACAAGACAAGAAAGATGATGGAGGGCTCAGCATTATCAGTTGTCTTAACCCATGAGTAAACAGGGGTCTACATGTGCTGTGTGTGTGTGTGTGTGTGTGTGTGTGTGTGTATCCAGCTCCCAGCTCCCATGATTGGGCTCCAGTCTCAGGCCGCCTGCAGCGTGGCTCTAATTAGTCTCAGTAATTAGGCTGAACTCCTCAGTCTGGAATCTGCAACCACTCAACTCTCTCTGCCACATATCTGACCCCTCTCCCATGTCTCGCTCTCTTTCTTCCCCCTCTTTAATCTTTTCATTTCTTTTCCTCTGAGCATCACATCACACACATTTATGGCTTATTGGTGGAAATATTATAGGAGACATGAATGTGGCTATGTGAACCAGAGTAGAGCCCAACAGAGGACAGAGCACATGTTTGAACTTTGATTGTGATCTGAGACACACACACACACACACACACACACACACACACACACACACACACACATTGATGTGATTACGAAACATTTCTTGGGGACTGCAGTCTGACTTTGAATGATAAGTGAGGATCAGAAATGGTAAAGGAATCTAAATTCTTCCAAATGTCTGACTTTCAGCAGCACATTTACATTTCACACCATCAACCTCCTTCTAAGTCACTTTACTTCATTAAAAAAGTATTTGACTGTTTAGATAAAAGTGTTGTCTCTCTACAGGACCAGAGTGGTGTCCCCTATCATGGATGTGATAGACTGGCAGACCTTTCAGTACAACGCCACCCAGTGGCCGGTGAGGGGGGTGTTTGACTGGAAACTGGACTTTTTCTGGGAATCAAACCTTCTGCTGCAAGACAAGGATCCAGAGTCTGCTGTGCAACCTTTACGGTATGTTTATCAAGACAAGATAATCATGGCTGGCGCTTGAGAAAACCCCAAGGACAAGCAGCTACTTGATTTACTTTTGCAAGGTTATGTTTATAGATGGAGAATTGACCTCAAGCTTTTAAAAAATGGAGAAAGTATGTCTGTATGTGGTGGCCCTCAGAGGCCAGATGCTGTGAAATTTACCTTTTTGTTAATTGTGACAGGACTCCAGCATTAGGAGGAGGCGTTGTGGCTGTCGAAAGATATTTCTTCCAGAAGATAGGAGCCTACGACCCGGGGATGCTGTTGTGGGGAGCAGAGCAAATTGAGCTGTCAATCAGGGTAAATTAAAAATTATTGATGTTCAGTTTTCCAGCTATAAGTCCTGTTCACACGCTCCAGCAGGAGAGAGAGATGAAGTCACATACTTTATTTCTGGGACTCTCACCCCCTGAGTGATTCAGTTGCCTTCTGTCAGGGCCTCAGGAATGTTGTGCTGGGACATGATGCCTTTTGCAAATGGAAATCTCAGGTTGAAGGTCTGGGAATGTCTTGGCCAGTCGGCAAATGCACAAGCGTGAGAGCAAAATGTTATGAAACCACTTACTTGACAAAGTGCAGATACTTGTAGAGAAAGTACAGCCTGTACTTTTCAATCTAATAATCATGACACAATTTTTCTACCAATACTTAAAGGTATTTAATGTAATGACAGTTTATTTTTCCAAAACAAATTAATACTACTGAGCAAAAAGGCTGTGTTTTTATTGTTCATGTTAGGTGTGGTCATGTGGGGGCTCCATGGAGGTGGTCCCCTGCTCACGTGTGGCCCACCTCATGCACCACCACCTGCCATATCGCTTCCCAGACCAGGAGCTGCTTCAGAGGAATAAGATCCGCATTGCAGACACATGGATGGACGCCTACAGGAAGATATTCTACAGGAGGGACACACTGGCTCATTTCATCAGGCAGGTGTGTGTGTGTTTGCGGTGGAGCATTTGCTCATAGAAACTGGTGCATGGGTGAGTGTGCTGAAAAGCTCATCACACACAATGTCTTTCTTTGGCACAGTCTGAGAGCCCCAACATCACCGAGCGTCTGCGGCTAAAGAGAAGTCTCGGCTGCAGGAACTTCCACTGGTACCTGACAGCAGTTTATCCACAGCTGTACATCCCACAGGACAGACCTGCACTGTCAGGCGAGGTAACACATACGCACACACACACACACGCACATCTCTAACTCTAAC